GATCATCTACAAAGTGAAGAAGTTCTACTCACCACTCTCATCGAGGTAGAAGGCATACTAAACTCAAAACCACTTGGGTATGCCTCCTCTGATGTGGCCGACACTGACCCCATCACGCCTAACCTGCTGCTAATGGGGCGGCGTGACGCAGCGCTACCACAGGCGGTGTACGGCCCTCATGATGCCCTGTCCAACCGAAGATGGAGACACAGTCAAGTGATTAGCGACCACTTCTGGAGACGCTTTATCCAAAACTACCTCCCGGGCCTCCAGCTGAGACAGAAGTGGAGGAACGTCACTGACAACGTTGCCGTCGGACGAGTGGTAATGATCGTCGATCGAAATCTTCCCAGAGGTCTGTGGCCCATAGGCACCATAACCAAAGTTTTCCCAGGCGCCGATGGGGTGGTGCGAGCTGCAGAAGTGAGGGTTAAAGACACTGACTACATTCGCCCGGTAACTAAACTGGTCGAGCTTCCTGAAGTGCCCGACGACGATGGCACTCCCACACACTAGTGGACTTTTGTATGTGTGTATTTGCTCTACAAATACAGAGGCGGCTGTTAAAAGTCCCTCACTACATTACCCATGATGCACTTGTGAATATTGTAGTTCCCCAGGGGCCCTCTCCGGTAGCCGAGTTTAGAGCTATTCATTACGGTGTTAGGAGCAGAGCCTGTGCGAGTGTGTCATGCCATCCGTCCTCCATCCAGTGTATATAAGTTCTGTGTGCGTTTATACAACGTAAGTATTGTGTGCCAATGTATATTTTCTTTATCTCACTGTATATATCCCAAATTGTTGCTCCCTACCTTTAGTTATATGTGTCGTGTGCCACGTGCATTTGCAGTAGGAGCGTCCATCGCGTTGGAGCACGCTGTATAATAAGATGCTTTATTATTACATTGTACATAGTTGCTCATGTGTTTATAGTTTAAGGAGTCCATTCCTGTTAAACAAATAATTACTTTCATTTGTCTCTTCTTAAGTCCCACGTGTGCTACGGTTTGTAGAGTTAGAGCACCCCCTTGTGGGGAACGGGTGAAATTCCATTCTGTCATTACATTGTACCTGTGTTTACCTTTGTTTATAGTCAAATGGCTATTTCTAATGTATACTATCTTTCTGTTAATTCCAGATGACCACACACATATACGCACCTATACACAGAAATCTTCACCTGCAACATACCTGTGCTCTTCCATCAATAAACATCACAACTGTGCACCTGGAGTTTGCCTGTTCCTTCTAACCGAGGAAGACTCATCTGACTGTCGTATCCGTTAACAGCGTATCCAAACGCTCACAGTATTTCACACCCAAGATAGGGTACGCTCTGTCCGTTTGCTCCCTCAATCTCCAGGATGTTGTTTAGTAAGTAAGTAAGTAAGTAAGTAAGTAAGTATTACCCTAAAGTAAGTAAGTTTAGGGGTTTCAGCTCATGCTCTGACAGATAAGCACTGTAGATGGCTTGTGGTATGGTGGTTACCTGAGACCCCGTGTCCATTAAACAGTTGAGAACATGTCCATTGATCGCAACTTGAGCTGTACTCTTCGTCCCAGCGAGTCCTTTTGGAAGTGCAGCAAATTGAGAGTTGTTGATGGGTTGTGGTTGTGGTGAAGCCTCTGCATGTCCCTCTGCCGAGACTTCCTCTGTTTAACGTAGAGTGATTCCTGTCCCACATTTGTTGCTTCTGTTGCAGCTGCTTTTTCTTCTCTTGTACGAGGTTTGGGTTTGGTCTGCTACTGCAAGTGGAAAGTATGTGCCCGTCCTCCCCACACTTGAAACAAAATCCAGGCCTGGGTCTCGTCGTGATGTTCGAAGACGTCTGAGGGGTCTGTGATTTTGAGCGGGCCGTGTTCTGCTTTGACAGTAGCACCGACATCTGCTGTTGTAGCTTCTGGACCTGCAGCTTCAGCTCATCAAGGGTGGTGGACGTTGGCTGGCCACAGACACACGCTTGGTGGGAATGGAGCTGGGCACGTGGTTTGACCGAGCTCATGTGTTTCCTCATTAGACTGTCTTTAGCCATCTGTCTGTCTTCCTCAGTTCTCAGTAACAACTAACAATCCTCCACTAACAGTTCAGCAAAAAGTGGAGGATTCCTCAGTCTCAGTTCAAGTTGTAGTTTCGTAATTAATGCGTTATCCCAGCAGCCCCGGCAAAACTGCTTCAAGAGATGCTTGGCTGTATCTGCGTCTCGAACCCCGCCACAAAACGGATATTCATACACCAATCAAGCTCCTGGCTAGCTCGCCACTTGTGGGTTAGTTCAGTGGTTCCCAAAGTGGGGGTCCCGACCCCCCGGGGGGTCGCGGGAACCCCTGGGGGGGTCGCACGATGATTTCTACACAAAAAAAAAAAAGATTTATTTTTTTTGAGCAAATATAAAGCCCTTAAATATTTATTTAGCATTTGAATTGATTCAAAAGGACTACTTGTTAAATTGTGTTTGGAGACTATAATATATTTTAATAACGTTAGTAATTTTGTCCCAGTCATTGCAGCGTCAATCAAAATCATCACGTAACACAGCTCACATCATGCGCAGCGACAAAGCGTGTCCTGCTGTTGTTTGCTAAAACTAAAGGTGTTTGGAGGCTACAAACAAATAATACCTGCTTTAAAATGAAACGTGGTTAATATCCACAACAGAAAAACCCGGAGGGGGAGAAAAGTCACTTGTATCAGGGGTCAGGCTGATGGTGCGAAGAGAGGGAGAGAGGGCAGAGGAGGGAGAGAGGGCAGAGGAGGGAGAGAGGGCAGCGGAGGGAGAGATGGCAGCGGAGGGAGAGAGGGCAGAGGAGGGAGAGAGGGCAGAGGAGGGAGAGAGGGCAGCGGAGGGAGAGAGGGAGAGAGGGCAGAGGAGGGAGAGAGGGCAGAGGAGGGAGAGAGGGCAGAGGAGGGAGAGAAGGCAGAGGAGGGAGAGAGGGCAGAGGAGGGAGAGAAGGCAGCGGAGGGAGAGAGGGCAGAGGAGGGAGAGAAGGCAGAGGAGGGAGAGAGGGCAGCGGAGGGAGAGAGGGCAGAGGAGGGAGAGAGGGCAGAGGAGGGAGAGAGGGCAGCGGAGGGAGAGAGGGAGAGAGGGCAGAGGAGGGAGAGAGGGCAGAGGAGGGAGAGAGGGCAGCGGAGGGAGAGAGGGCAGAGGAGGGAGAGAGGGCAGAGGAGGGAGAGAGGGCAGAGGAGGGAGAGAGGGCAGAGGAGGGAGAGAGGGCAGAGGAGGGAGAGAGGGCAGCGGAGGGAGGAGAGGGCAGCGGAGGGAGAGAGGGCAGAGGAGGGAGAGAGGGCAGAGGAGGGAGAGAGGGCAGAGGAGGGAGAGAGGGCAGCAGAGGGAGAGAGGGCAGAGGAGGGAGAGAGGGCAGCGGAGAGAGAGAAGGCAGCGGAGGGAGAGAGGGCAGCAGAGGGAGAGAGGGCAGAGGAGGGAGAGAGGGCAGCAGAGGGAGAGAGGGCAGAGGAGGGAGAGAGGGCAGCAGAGGGAGAGAGGGCAGAGGAGGGAGAGAGGGCAGCGGAGGGAGAGAGGGCAGCAGAGGGAGAGAGGGCAGAGGAGGGAGAGAGGGCAGAGGAGGGAGAGAGGGCAGCAGAGGGAGAGAGGGCAGAGGAGGGAGAGAGGGCAGCGGAGGGAGAGAGGGCAGCAGAGGGAGAGAGGGCAGAGGAGGGAGAGAGGGCAGAGGAGGGAGGGAGGGCAGCGGAGGGAGGGAGGGCAGCGGAGGGAGGGAGGGCAGCGGAGGGAGGGAGGACAGCGGTAGAACAGCGCGTTAAAGAGGCCCGGCTTTTCGGAGTCAAAGGTAAAGAGGTCCGCACATTAAAAGCGGGTGGCAGGTTTATGCCTTTACTGACAGTAACTTTGGAAAGAGAAGCTGCGGGGATGAACTGCATAAAGTAACAGCAGAAAGCGGCCGCCCGCTTTTAATGTGCGGACCTCTTTACCGCTGACTCCGGAAAGCCGGCCCACTTTACCGCGGTAGGAGAACAGTGAGGGCGAGCCGCAAGAAATGCGCTCCACTTCTGCTGAGGAGGGAGCCCACCAAGCCCATCACTG